CTGGGGGGGGAGTCCAAGTGCTGAGGACAAATGGTGTGGCCCGTGTGCGGGTGGGGTTTGCAGACCCAATCCCCAGGCGAAAAGCTCAGGAACCTTTGCCAGAGGCCCTTTGGCTCTGTGATTGTGGCACCAGGGCGAGGGACCCAGCAGCCCAGTGGTCAGGCAACCCCACTCCCCCTGTGAGATCCACTTCTGCACTGTCTCTCCCTCCCCCAATAGGGCCAGCGGAACCCTCTGCGGAGCTTCAGATGCACGAAGCAGAGGTCGGGAGCCAAGCATCGGTCAGCCAAGCACCGGACGGCCGCTGGAACGCCTGGATCCTGACCGCCGCTTATAGCTGAACTGTGTCAGGGAGGAGGCTGGCTCTGGGCCCCTGTTTTGGGGCCAGGATATTTGATGTAAATAAAGGACAGCTGTTTGTGCTCGGCCGCCGTCTTGTCAGGTTCGGAGGCCTTCCTCAGAAGAACATTAAAGGGGTTGACCTCCCGTGGCCATTGCAGTGCCTTAAGGCCGGGAGCAACTTCTCCTGCATTCTCAAGTCTTTGTGGGGTTTTTGTTTGTCTTTGAGCTGCCTCCTCTGTCCTGGCTACACTGCCTGGGGAGTAGCTCTGGGCCCCTTGTGCCTGCCTCTCCGGGCCAAGTGGTGGGTGGGTGCAGGGTCCCCCTTCCCATTGGCTTCCTCGTGTGGGTGAAGGTGCTTTGTCTTGGAAGCCGGGTTCCTCCCGCGGAGATTCCTGGCAGCAGCTGCTGCCTGGGAGAAGTCCTGAAACTCTGTAAACATCCCCTGCCAAATGCCCCGTCTGCAATTCCTTCTCACCTGGTTTCTGTAAACCGAGTTGTTCCCTTGTATCGCACTCCTTTGCCCTCGCCAGCTGGGCCCCACCCCAGCCCTTTGCTCCCCGGGTCTGAGGTGAAGGCAGAGCAAGGCTCTTCCAGGGTGATAGCATGTCTGCTCACAGCACGGGCCCCCGCCTCCGTGGTGCGTCCTGTGGCCCTTGTTCTGCTTGTGGCTACCTGTTCCAGCAGCTGCCAGTAATGGCAACTAATGGACTATTACCCAGGCTCCCTTGGCCTTATCAGGCGTCAAGGCCAGGCCAGGCTTGTAAACCTTGAGGAGGAAGGAAGATAAGCGGCTCAAGGTGGAGGCAGCAGACGGAGCCTGCGGACCCTCCTGGGCGAGGCCTCTTGGACCGTAAGCAACAAGCACGCAACTCCCTGTCCTGTTCCTCAACCCCCCACCCCCGGCTTCCCTTGCCTTCAACTGCACTGCTTCCTCCTCGGATGTTTCCCCAAGAAGCTTACGTGGCTTTGCACTTGCAAGGGTCAAAGCCAGGCGTGCTGTGACTTGGCAATTCGAGTGGCTTTGCTTTAAGTGGGTTGCCTGGTTGAGCGGGCTACCAGGCCTGCTCTTTTCACAGGGAGGGAGGGAGACGGGCACCTTCCTTGCTGCCACGTGGCAAAACGAATGAGCCCCATCTGGGGGTGTTCTCCCATCTGGGCTGCAACAGCAGTTTGGTTCCAAAGAGGTTCCAGGCCTGCCTTCTTCACCCCCCAGCTGGGTACACCATTTCCTGTTAAAGCTCAGCAGTTCCTGAGAATATCACAAACACCCCACAAATCCTGAAGGGTTGTATTGATTTTTACAGTGTATTGGGGGGCGGGGGGCGCCGATCCCAGAAGGGGGAAATAGCACCTGCATTTGCTTTAAATACAGTGGTACTTCTGGATACAAACGGGACTCACAGCTGTCCATGGAGGCACAGGTCAATTCTGTGTCCAGGGCACCTGTTTTCCAGCTCCATTTGGTACACAGGCTGAGACCCTACCTGCCCGCGGACTGTTTTGCCAGAGTGGTGCATGCTCTGGTTATCTCTCGCTTGGACTACTGCAATGCGCTCTACGTGGGACTACCTTTGAAGGTGACCCAGAAACTACAACTAATCCAGAATGCAGCAGCTAGACTGGTGACTGGGAGATGCTGCCGAGACCATATAACACCGATCTTAAAAGACCTACATTGGCTCCCAGTACGTTATGAGCACAATTCTAAGTGTTGGTGCTGACCTTTAAAGCCCTAAACGGCCTCGGTCCAGTATACCTGAAGGAGCGTTTCCACCTCCATCGTTCAGCCCGGACACTGAGATCCAGCACCGAGGGCCTTCTGGCGGTTCCCTCACTGCGAGAAGCCAAGTTACAGGTAACCAGGCAGAGGGCCTTCTCGGTAGTGGCGCCCGCCCTGTGGAACGCCCTCCCACCAGATGTCAAAGAGAAAAATAACTACCAAACTTTTAGAAGACATCTAAAGGCAGCCCTGTTTAGGGAAGCTTTTAATGTTTAATAGGTTATTGTATTTTAGTGTTTTGTTGGAGTGGCTGGGGGGACCCAGCCAGATGGGCGGGGTATAAATAATAAATTATTTTTATTATCTGTTCCGGAGCCCTGTTCGTATCCTGAAGCGAACGCAACCCACGTCTGCGTGGGTTGTGATTCGCTGCTTCCGCACATGCGCGTGACATCATTTTGACCGACTGCGTGAGCTGCGAAACCCGGAAGTAACGCGTTCCGTTACTTCTGGGTCGCCGTGGAGCGCAACCCGAAAGCACTCAACCTCAACCCGAGGTATGACTATAGTGAAATGCTTGAGGCAGGGGATCCTGGAGGGAGAATTGAGCAGGTGCTGGGGGGTGGGGCAGAGTCCGCCAGGTGCTCCATCTTACCTGAAGAGGACCATCAGTCTTTGGAGGGGCCATGGTGGGGAGTTCTGGGCAGCCAGGATGCGGTGGGGTGTGTTAGGCAGCTTATAGCTTGCCTGTTTCAATGCCAGTACAGTGGTACCTACGCTTCAGGTTACAGACTCCGCTAACCCAGAGATAGTCCCCCGGTTTAGAACTTTGCTTCAGGATGAGAACAGAAATCGTGCTCTGGCAGCGCGGCGGCAGCAGGAGGCCCCATTAGCTAAAGTGGTGCTTCAGGTTAAGAACAGTTTCAGGTTAAGTTCGGACCTCCGGTTACGAATTAAGTGCTTAACCTGAGGTACCACTGTATACCAAATCTGGTGCAACTGCATTTGGGATACTGTGTGCAGTTTTGGTCGCCACGCTTTAATGAGGATATTGTGGAGCTGGAAGACGATCCAAAATGGCCAACCCAAATGATCAAAGGCATGGAGCGACTCGCCTACAAGGAAAGGTTGCAGCATTTCGGACATTTTAGTTTAGCGAAAAGGTAAAGAGGCAGCATAATGTACATTTGTAAAATAATGCACAGCATGGATAAAATGGAGAGAGAAGTTTATCACCTCACCCCATGCTAGGACTTGTGGGCATCCAGTGCAACTGAAAGTTGGAAGATTCGGGATGGATAAAAGGAAGTCCTTGATGCCCTGCACAGTTGTTGTTTTTTAAAGATATATATGTTTTAATTAACATTTGCCATCACATGGTTTAATGTTCTGCTCAACCCAGATGATCATGTGATTTTGTTCCATATTCCACCTGAGATGCTGTATTGCCACATGATAATCCAGCCGCTTCTTCACTTCTGTGTATACAGTAAACAGCCTCACTCTGTAGTTTGCCTCAAGCATTATAGCAAAGAGATAGTAAAGGTAAAGGTAAAGGGGACCCCTGACCATTAGGTCCAGTCGTGACCGACTCTGGGGTTGCGGTGCTCATCTCGCTCTATGGGCCGAGGGAGCCGGCGTTTGTCCGCAGACAGCTTCTGGGTCATGTGGCCAGCATGACTAAGCCGCTTCTGGCGAACCAGAGCAGCGCACGGAAACGCTGTTTACCTTCCCGCTGGAGCGGTTCCTATTTATCTACTTGCACTTTGAGGTGCTTTCGAACTGCTAGGTTGGCAGGAGCAGGGACCGAGCAACGGGAGCTCACCCCGTCGTGGGGATTCGAACCGCCAACCTTCTGATCGGCAAGTCCTAGGCTCTGTGGTTTAACCCACAGCGCCACGACCCTCAACTCTCCACTGCTCTTTCTTCTCTTCAATAGCTGTAGTGTGGTCAGCTATCATCACATTTTCCCCAGATGTTGCTTGTGCTATAGTATCCTCATTGAGCTTGTCAGCAAAAGCTGCTACATCTGCACTGTACTTCTTAATTATATAGATGAGAATTCCCGCCATAACACCTCCAACTATTGTTTCATGGTTAACTATGTAAAGTTCCTTAGAGACCATATAGAGCAGAAGCCCAGTCCCATATATATCTAGGGGCCTGCGACTCCTGTTTTTGGGTTTAAGAATTGGAAAATTTCTTCAGGGAATATTCCATGGCAGAATTTTCTTCCTGACTCTGGAAGAGGTGGCACAGGAGCGAAGCGTTGCTGACTTGTGTGAAGTGGTCTTAATATTTGCACTGCCCCCCGGGCAGAGCGGGCACCAAGCTCTTCAGGCCACCAGCGCGCACGGCCAAATGAGACAACATCGCTGCTGCTGCCACTGCCGCCACCCTCTCCGCCCCTGTGACCCTCCCGGCAAAGAGAACTCAAAATGGCAGCCTCCATGGAGGAGGTCTGGCCAACACCCGGCACAGCTGAAGTGGGGAACTTGCTCCTACAGGAGGCAATGATGGCCACCAACCTGGATGGCTTTAAAAGAAGGTTGGACAAATTCATGGAGGAGGAGAAGGCCATCCATGGCTGCCGGCCATGATGGCTATGCTTCCGCAGCTGGAGGCAGCCATACCTCTGGATCCCAGTTGCTGGAAGCCACAGGATGGGAGGGTTCTGGTGTGCCAATCTGGCCACTGTGAGGACAGGATGGTGGACTAGATGGGCCATGGGCCTGATCCAGCAGGATTTTCTTACTTTCTTGTGACTGAAGAGCGTAAAACAGGTAGGTCTCCCCGAAGCAAGTCAGAAGAACCTCAGCTCCACTTTCAGGTTAATGATAGCAGGGGTTTTACAGCCTTGGCGCAGCCTGATTGGCTCCACAGATGTCAGACCAGGTCTGCTAATAACTGGGCGTCGGGTGGACTCGGGACAGGCACCTTGGCACAGCAAGTCCTGGGCACTCCCTCCTTTCTGAAGCTTCTGTCTGGGACTGAGGACAAGCTGCCAGGATGCTGAGCGCCATCCTGCTTGCCTTGGTGCTTTCCAGGGCCGGGCTGGGCCTGGTGAGTGAGGTCAGGGGCCTGGTGGGTGTGGATGATGGAGGGAAGGGCAAGAGGGCTTCAGGAGGCAACAGCCTTCGAAGGGCCTTGGGCAACTGAGCTGCTTCTTAGGGGAGCAGGATGAGATGGAACTAAATGGGCAGCCCAAGTCCATCTCTGTCCGGTTTCAGCTGCCCACAGAAAATGGGTCCTATATCTCTGGACTGCCAGGGAACAACAGACAGGCCTTGTTCAACTTTCCTTTCCTAAGACGTTCACACTGGTTTACGAAGGCAGAAATCATACAGTTGTACAGTTGGGAAGGACCGCAAGGGTCATCTAGTCCAAATCCTTGCACGGCAGGAATTGCAGCTAAAGTATCCCTGGCAGATGGCTATTCAACATCTGCTTTAAAATCGCCAGTGGTGTCTGTCGCCTTCCAAGGGAGTCTGTCCTGCTGTCAAACAGCTCTTACTGTCAGAAAGGTTTAGCTGGAATCTCTTGTCACTGGAATCCACTGGTTTGGGTCCTACCGTCCAGAGCGGTGGAAAACCAGCTTCCACTATCAGTAACAAAATAGCATAGCAGATACGTAGGAGACAATACAGCAAGCAATATGGACAGCCTTGTGGAAGAGGTGCCTCCCCTGTCTCGAAGAGTCCGAGTTCTTGCAAATTCCAAATCAGTCTGATGAGATCCACCCTCCTGGGCGGATCAGAATTCAGTTGTACTTTCACAGCTCCCCACGGTTCCAATGCAGTTCTTGGCTCAAAAACAAGGCCTCCAAATATATTTTAATGTGTGCGTTTTGAGAGGAAACAGGGATTTTAGTGCGGATTCTCACAGCCAAGGGGAAACATAGTGGAACAGAGAGGGCCGGTGAGACACAATTATCTATGGATGCAAACGCAACAGGAAGACTAGGGCAGAGGGCTTTCTGGAGGTGGTCTTGCATTGTGTCAAAGAGGACACAGAGCAGCATCACTCCGAATAACCATTGTGTGCAGTAATGCTGGGCCCCAAGAGTAACTTTGTACTGGGGACATGTTATCCCCTTGGCGAAAATGCTCAGGGAGATATTCAGATGGAGAACGAAATCAAGGAAACATTCAAAAGAGGAAATGCTATACAGTGGTGCCCCGCAAGGCGAATGCCTCGCAAGATGGAAAACCCGCTAGACGAAAGGGTTTTCCGTTTTTGAGTTGCTTCGCAAGACGAATTTCCCTATGGGCTTGCTTTGCAAGACGAAAATGTCTTGCAAGTCTTGCGATTTTTTTCCGCTTCCCCCCCTTTTTTCTAAGCCGCTAAGCCGCTAATAGCCTTTTAGCAGCTCAGCCGCTAAGCCTTTAATAGCCGCTAAGCCGCTAATAGCGCTAATCCGCTAAGCCGCTAATGGGGTTGCTTCACAAGACGAAAAAACCGCTAGACGAAGAGAATCGCGGAACGGATTCTTTTCGTCTTGCGAGGCACCACTGTAGTAATAGGCAACTTCAGTTACACACACCTAAGGTCCAGATGCGGCCCAATCGCCTTCTCAATCCGGCCTGCGGACGGTCCGGGAATCAGCGTGTTTTTACATGAGTAGAATGTGTCCTTTTATTTAAAATGCATCACTGGTTTATTTGTGGGGCCTGCCTGGTGTTTTTACATGAGTAGAATGTGTGCTTTTATTTAAAATGCATCTCTGGGTTATTTGTGGGGCATAGGAATTCGTTCATTTTTTTCTTTTTCAAAATATAGTCTGGCCCCCCACATGGTCTGAGGGACGGTGGACCGGCCCCCTGCTGAAAAAGGTTGCTGACCCCTGGTCTAGGCTGTTGCGTACACATCACACGTAGGGGTAGCATTTCTAGATGCCCTCAATGTCTGTGCCCTAGGAACAGAGCAGGGTGCCTGGGACTTCATCTTAAGTGGCACCAGAACTTGGTGCAAGTGATTTTGAACCAACTGGGAGCAGTGACCATAGTGCTATCTGATTCAGTGTATGTGCAAATAGACAATTGCAAAGAAAATCTAGCGGTCACATTTGAAATTTCCTAAACCGGAGAGGACTGGGACAAAAAGGAAGTTGCAAGGGTCAAAGTCAAGAGGGTCAATTCGCTCCAAATATTTGGGGGGGTTGTTTAAAACGACAGTATTAGCTAGAATGTATGCACCGTAGATCAAATGAGGTACTGGCAGGGTGCCAATGTGGTCAAATAAGCTGTTAGAGAGGCAAGAAAATTTCCATTAGAAAATGGAAGTCTTGTTCAAATGAGACCAAAAAGGAACATGAAAATACAGAGAGAAGTATGCAGACAGTAAGGAATGCAAAAAAGAAGAAGAAAAGTATTTGAGGAGCAAATTGCTAAAAACAGAAAGACCACGAGCAATGAAAGCTCTCATGTATGTTGCTAGCAGACAGCCAGTTAGTAATAATAATAATAATAATAATAATTTATTATTTATACCCCGCTCATCTGGCTAGGGATGCAGTAGGGTGTCTTTGGGTGATGGGGGGGGGGGGGAATTGTGCCAAAGGAGAATAAGGTGACTGCAGAGAAGCATAATAATAATAATAATAATAATTTATTATTTATACCCTGCCCATCTGGCTGAGTTTCCCCAGCCACTCTGGGCGGCTCCCAATCAAGTGTTAAAAACAGTACAGCGTTAAATATTAAAAACTTCCCTGAACAGGGCTGCCTTCACATGTCTTTTAAAGATAGGATAGCTGCTTATTTCCTTCACATCTGATGGGAAGGCGTTCCACAGGACGGGTGCTACTACCGAGAAGGCCCTCTGTCTGGTTCCCTGTAACCTCACTTCTCGTAATGAGGGAACCACCAGAAGGCCCTCGGTGCTGGATCTCAGTGTCCGGGCTGAACGATTGGGGTGGAGACGCTCCTTCAGGTCCACTTCTGTCTTCACAATAGAAGAGACTTTGACGGGAAGGAAGTTTGAGGAATTGAAGCACAATAGTGGTGACAAAAAAGTCTAGACCTAACTGACAAAATAAATACTAAGAAATGACCGGTTCTGTATGACATCTCTCCCTCCCCCTCCTATGGGACCAAGGCGGCTGCCCTCACACCAATCCATCAGGCAAAATACTGTTCCTTCTACGGAGTGTGTGGCAAGAACCCTGAAATCAGTTCCAGTCTTCTCCCAGCAGTTGTCCCTTGCATCTCCAACACGCCGGCCCGGAAACTCAATGGCTCCCACCTCAACCTCCTCCAGACCATCTGCCCGATGCTGTTCACGGGGGCCAATGACACCTTCGCCTGCTGCTCCGAGGCCCAGCTGCGAGACCTGCAGACCAGCCTGTCCATGTCCCAGGCGATTCTGTCTCGCTGCCCGTCCTGCTCGGAGAACTTTGCCAGCATCTACTGCCAGAGCACTTGCAGCCCAGACCAGAGCCTCTTCACCAACATCACCCGCTATTTCAACCGCACCATCCAGGGGGAGGAGAAGCAAGGGGTCTTGGAGTACCAGTGCTACTACAGCCAGCGCTTTGCTCAGGAGTCCTTCGACTCTTGCAAAGGGGTGAGGATGCCAGCCACGGGCGGCTACGCCATCAGCGCCATGTGTGGCAAATATGGGGCCACCTTGTGCAACAGCCAGAGGTGGCTGGATTTCCAGGGGGACACAAGCAATGGGGTGGCCCCTTTGGCCATCTCCTTCCAGCTGGTGCCCGAAGGCTCTGCCCCAATTCCGGGTGGCATCGTGCCCTTCAACGGAACAGCCTGGAAGTGCAGCGAGGCAGTGGGCAATGGGACCAAGGAGAGGTGTTCCTGCCAGGACTGTTCCCAGGCATGCCCTGCAGCCCTGGACCCTCACCCTGCCCAGAAGCCCTTCCAAGTGGGGGAATGGGTGGGGTCCTGTTCCTGTGCATCTTCCTCTTCTGCCTCCTCATGGTGCTGTTTGTGGCCTTCCTGATCCAGCGAGGGTGCTCCTGCTCGTGTCGGAAACAGAAGGACAAAGGCCCCAAGAAAGCCATGCCCAAGCCAACCTGTTCTCAGAAAGTGAGCCAGGCCACCCACGACTTCCTGGCCAGCATATTCAGCTGCTGGGGCACACTGGTGGCCTCCTACCCCATCCAGGTGATCGCCATCTCGGTGGTGGTGGTGATAGGGCTCTCCAGTGGGCTGGTCTTTATCCAGCTGACCACAGACCCTGTGGAGCTGTGGTCCAAACCCGACAGCCAGGCCCGGAAGGAGAAGACCTTCTATGACGAGAACTTTGGGCCCTTCTTCAGGACTAACCAGATCATCATGACCGCCAAGGACCGTCCCAGCTACACCTACGATTCCCTCATCCTTGGCAATAAGAATTTCAGTGGCATCCTCTCCATGGAGGTTCTACTGGACCTGCTGGACCTGCAGCAGAGGCTGCAAGCCATTGAGGTCTGGTCTGCGGAGTATGGCAGGAACATCTCTCTGAAGGACATCTGCTATGCCCCCCTGAACCCTGAGAATTCTACCCTCTCTGACTGCTGCGTCAACAGCCTGTTGCAGTATTTTCAGAACAACGTGACCCGCCTAAATATGACGGCCAACCAGACGATGAGGGGCAAGAATGGCACCGTGGACTGGCGGGACCACTTCCTCTATTGCGTCAAGTAAGCCCTGGCCCCCAGGGGACCCCTTTTTTTAATATACACTTTAGTGGGACAGCGGCCTTTGTTTTGATCAGGCTGAGCTGGAGCAGGGGGTGTGCGTCTGGCTGAGTCCTATGTTTGGAGTCAGGAATAAATTACCTCCTGCGCCAGCTTGGCACAGCCCTCGAGGCGGGAGGTGAGGCTGGGCCTTCCCGGGAGCCTGGTTTTGTTGGCAGCGCCCAGAGGTGGCCTTCAGAGTGGAGGGTTGGCAACCTCCTGCTGGCCCCGAGTCTCTGCTCATGCAGTCCAGCAACAGCAGAGTCCTTCCTCCCACAAGTGCCATTGCCCCTTTGCCTGTGGCTCAGGCTTAGAGCCCCTGATCGGCAAGCGGAAGGTCCTCTGTTCGTCCCCAGCTTCATCTCTAGGTAGGGTTGAGAAAGGCCTGGGAACCTGGAGAGCCACTGCAAACTGAGGTTGACTGGGGGGGGGGCATTTTGGCTCTGTGGCCCCCACCCCTCCATGCCAACGTGGACAGGTGGTGAGACCAATCAGAACACAACATGAAAATAGGGATGTCCTATTCCATAATGATGATGATGATATTCTGTTTTATAGCCCACCCATCTGACTGGGTAGCCCCAGCCACTCTGGGCGGCTTCCAACACATATGAAAACATAAAGGTAAAGGGACCCCCTGACCATTAGGTCCAGTCGTGACTGACTCTGGGGTTGCGGCGCTCATCTCGCTTTACTGGCCGAGGGAGCTGGTGTACAGCTTCCGGATCATGTGGCCAGCTTGACTAAGCCGCTTCTGGCAAACCAGAGCAGCGCATGGAAACGCTGTTTACCTTCCCGCCGGACCGATACCTATTGATCTACTTGCACTTTCGAACTGCTAGGTTGGCAGGAGCAGGGACCGAGCAACGGGAGCTCACCCTGTAGCGGGGATTCGAACCGCCGACCTTCTGATCGGCAAGCCCTAGGCTCTGTGGTTTAACCCACAGCGCCACCGGCATCCCCTATGAAAACATAAGTGAATATTAAAAAACTTCCTTATACAAGCTGTCTTCAGATGTCTTCTAAAGGTTGTACAGTGGAACCTTGGTTTTCGAATGTAATTCGTTCCGGAAGACTATTCAACTTCCGAAACGTTCAAAAACTGAGGAGTAACAGGCGGTGGGCAAAATCCATTGAGAAAAAAAGAAAAACATGCAGCGGAAGCCGTTCGGCTTCCAAGGCATGTTCAAAAACGGAAGCCATTTGGTTTGGCGTCCAAAACGTTTGGCTTCTGAGACGCTTGAAAACTGAGGTTCCACTCTATACAGTAGTTATCTCCTTGGCTCAGGGGTGGCATAACTCCATAACCTCCAGCACTTCTCCGATCGAAATAGGGACGTCCTAAGGAAAAGCGGGCCTGCCAACCTAGCAGTTCGAAAGCACCCCCGGGTGCAAGTAGATAAATAGGTACCGCTTTATAGCGGGAAGGTAAACGGCGTTTCCGTGTGCTGCGCTGGCTCGCCAGAGCAGCTTTGTCACTCTGGCCACGTGACCCGGAAGTGTCTCCGGACAGCGCTGGCCCACGGCCTCTTGAGTGAGATGGGCGCACAACCCCAGAGTCTGTCAAGACTGGCCCGTACGGGCAGGGGTACCTTTACCTTTACCTTTTAAGGAAAAGCGGGACATTCCGGGATCAAATGAGGTACTGGGATGATGGCAAATCCGGGACTGGCAATGGGAAACAGGGTCTGGCGCAAAGCACCTTGCAAAGCATACAGGTGGCGCTGTGGGTTAAACCACAGAGCCTAGGACTTGCCGATCAGAAGGTCGGCGGTTTGAATCCCCGTGACGGGGTGAGCTCCCGTTGCTCGGTCCCTGTTCCTGCCAACCTAGTAGTTTGAAAGCACGTCAAAGTGCAAGTAGATAAATAGGTACCACTCCGGCGGGAAGGTAAATGGCGTTTCCGTGCGCTGCACTGGTTCGCCAGAAGCGGCTTTGTCATGCTGGCCACATGACCCGGAAGCTGTACTCCGGCTCCCTCAGCCAATAAAGCGAGATGAGCACCGCAACCCCAGAGTCGGCCACGTCTGGACCTAATGGTCAGGGGTACCTTTACCTTTAAGGAAAAGAGGGACATTCTGGGATCAAGTGAGGAACTGGGATGATGGCTTCTGTAAATCCAGGACTGGCAGTGGGAAACAGAGTCTGGCGCAAAGCACCTTGCAAGCCCCACGCCTCCGCCCCAGCCAGTGACCCTTCTTTTTTCAGACACTGGCTGCTCAAGCGAGTTCCCGGTGTGTGCAGCTGACTCAGCAGGCTTTGGCCCTCCCGTCCTTCAGCAGTTTAGGGCTCCTAGTTGTGCCCTGCCCGCTTCTTCTCTTCCCGCCCCACCTGCAATTTCAGGTGTGGGGAAGTGACTGCATATGGGGGGCCACAGCTGAACTGGTGGTGCAAATTTGGCTTGTGGGCAGGAGGTTCTCCACGCCTGAAGCAGACAGTGCAGAGCTTGATGGGCTGGTACTGGCAAAGGAGCTTCCTCTGCTGTCCCTGGTGAACGAGGCGGCTCTTTTCCTCTGAAATCAGGAGGGCTTCCCGGAGGGTCCTTAATGCCGATTTCTCACTGGGCGCTCAATTCCTTTGCCTTCGCAGCTCACCTCTCTCTTTCCAAGACATCACCTCGCTGGAGCTGAGCTGCATGGCAGAGTATGGAGGGCCTGTCTTCCCTTTCCTGGCCGTGGGGGGGTATCCAGGTAAGAGCCATGCCCACCCCCTGGGAGGAAATAATTGGGTCTTTTGTGTCATGCACAGATTGGGCTGCCCAGGCTGCAAGGGGCTGCGGTTATAAGTGGTATTAAGACATTTTTTAAGGTCAGGGTGGTGTGTGTGTGCGCGCACATGCACATGTTCTGTTTTGGTACTGTGGCAACCACCAGAGCTTACGTTTTTGTTTTTTTAAAAAAAATGCTTTTTATTAACTTTTTGTTACAACACATAAACACACATACTAAGCTGTAAGGACAATTAAGAAACAAACTAAAAAGAAAACACAAAACAAATGACAAACACATAAAGCCATGAATCCGTGCACACAGAATTATGTTAGCCTATTTTATATTTCCCATTCTTATTCTTTTCTAGTATTACTTCTTCCTCCTCAAAGCGGGTCTATTTTCCTGTTTGTTCATCTGTTTCTTTCTCATTTCATCATTCCTACCCTTCTCCATCTACTGGACTTAGTTATAGACCATATTGTGGTTTGCGAAAATTACTCAATGCAAGTTCAGTTTTGATTTGAGGACACTGGTTTTTTAGGTAATCTCTATACACTCCCCACTCTTTTTGGAACCTTTAGTTAGACAAAATATTCAAATAGTCTGTCCTCCCACTCTTTTTTTGTTGGTACTATTTCACTTTTCCAATGTTTAGCTATTACTATTCTTGCTGCCATTGTTGCGTATAAGAATGTGCTCTTATTTTCATTTGGAGTATTTGAATCTAATATGCCCAATAGGAAAGCTTCTGGTTTCTTTATAAAAAGTTTGTTCAAATATTTCCCCCCCCCAACTCTTCACATACACCAAGTTCCACATTTCAACTTTGCAGGGTGTCAAGGGCTTGCTTTTATCTATTCCGAATCTTCCAGTGTTCAGCTGCATTGGACGTCCACAAGTTCTAGCACCACAGCTTATGTCCCCCCCCCCCTTTGCCCCCCATTGCTCCTTTCTAAAAAAGAAAGAAAAGTGAAAGAAAATAGCTTATTCCCATTTTTTCCTGTTTTTTCTTTCTTTCCCCCTTCCTTTCTTTTTTTGAAATGAGTGGTGGTGAAAACACAAATGAAAATGAAAATAAAAGAAAGTACATTTCCACACATTTGTATCCAGACGTGCATAATCTTTATCCATCACCTAATATATTCTGTATAAACTCGTTCCAAGCACTGTAATAATAATAATAATAATAATAATAATAATAATAATAATAATAATAATAATTTATTTATACCCCGCCCATCTGGCTGGGTTTCCCCAGCCACTCTGGGCGGCTTCCAACAAAACACTAAAATACAATAACCTATTAAACATTAAAAGCTTCCCTGAACAGGGATGCCTTCAGATGTCTTTTAAAAGTTTGGTAGTTATTTTTCTCTTTGACATCTGGTGGGAGGGCGTTCCACAGGGCGGGTGCCACTACCAAGAAGGCCCTCTATCATTATACTTATGCAGAGAGGAAATTCCTGAGGGTCTCAAGATGCCCCACCTATTCAGGCCCAGCAGGGGCACCTGAGAGGCCTGGAGAAACCACCATACCTGTGGTTTGAGGGAGAAGATGGGGGGCTGTGTGTGAGGGAACTGGGGCTCTTGGGGGGGGGGCTTGCTGCCTTGCGGATGTGCGACCACCAACCTGCCTCTCTGTGACCTCCTTCTTCTCTGCCTGACAGAGGAGGAGTACTCGGAAGGCCAGGCCCTCATCCTGACCTTCTCCTTGAACAACTTCCCTCCCAGTGACCCTCGATTCGACTTCGCCATGTTGTGGGAGAAGCAGTTCCTGGAGATCGTGCAGGAATTCCAGCAGGAACATGAAGACAGCTACACGGTCGCCTACATGGCAGAGGTGGGTGTTGCTGCTGCCCCACCAAGGACCCCCGTGCCTCCCATTTGCCATTGGGAGCTGGGGCTACTGGCAGGGGCCACCTCACACCACTGCGGTCAGCCGTGCCCAACATCTGCCGGCCAGAACCAGCCCATTCCACTGACCAGTGGACGCCAGATTTGAAATGAAGGCACAGGTGCCCGGCCAGCCCGAAAGTGACCTGCTAGGCTAGTTGGAGAAGGTTATATTCCATCCCTGCTCCCCTCCTGTGCTGTGTCTATGTTCTTCTCCTTCTTTTATTTGTCCTCGCTGCCCAAATCAGTCAGGTCGGTGGCAGAGGAGAGGAGAAAAATGTGCCCGGAGAGCCTAATGTTCATCATTTTTAAACTTTGGGATTTTTCAAGTAGTACAGTGGTACCTCGGGTTACAGACGCTTCAGGTTACAGACTCCGCTAACCCAGAAATAGTACCTCAGGTTAAGAACTTTGCTTCAGGATGAGAACAAAAATCGCCCGGCGGCAGCGGGAGGCCCCATTAGCTAAAGTGGTACCTCAGGTTAAGAACAGTTTCAGGTTAAGAACGGACCTCCAGAACTAATTAAGTTCTTAACCCCAGGTACCACTGTATGTCCCTCTCATCCCTGTGTGCCTGGAGAGCTTCAGCTGAGCGGGCACAGAATCAGGGGCATCTCTCGGCTGGTGCAAGGAATGTGGAGGGCCGGCCTGAATTATGCGCTTTGAGCATCTTATGTGCCTGAGAAGCCAATCCTGAGCTGGCCTTTCCCATTGGTTGTCCTTCCCCGGCTGCTTTCCCATGCTCAAGGTGCAGTATTCGAAACTCCCATTGTTTTGCGACAGGGAAATTCATTAGCGCGAGCTCTGGGTGCAGTGCTGCGCCTGAGATTTCAGATTAAAACTGCAAAGTGGAAGGAAAGGAGGACCTTTTTCTGCCTCCCCACTTCCAGCTGCTCTGAAGACTGGAGAAGGGACCCTCTTAAGAAGATTATGGGGGGCGGGCAGGGGAAGGACTAGACCTTGCGAAAAACGAACATAATATTTCAGCTGCAGTTTGTTCCTTTTCAGCTTTGTATTCTTGTTATATAAAAAAAGTGCGCCTAGACATTCCGTTGTTGCGCTCATAACCTCGGTTTAAGGTGCTGTTCAGCTCCTAGTTTTCCTATCTCAGTTTCTAACTCTGTTAAGGTGGCTCACATCAACGTACAAAATAAATATATAAAAACATTTCAAGATAATGCATTAACAGTTGCGGAACAGAGCACGATGGAACCAAAAAGTCAGGCGTAATGTCATTAGGGCGAACATCTCATGCTAATAAACACTGAAACAATAAAATGCAAACATCCAAATAATATGCAAGCATCCAAATTGCAGCAAAAGCAATATCTGCCCCACACCCGCCAGGAAGGGAGTGGGGAAGGCAGGTGGAAAGTCTTCCCCTTGATGGCTCAGGCAGACTCTCCCCTATAGACTCTAAGGCACTCTCTCCCCCCCCCCCCAATAATACCTGCAGCGTTCAGTGGAGGACGAGATCAACCGCACCACCTGGGAGGACCTCCCCGTCTTTGCTGTCAGCTACCTGGTGATCTTTGTGTACATTGCACTGGCCTTGGGCGAGTACTCCAGCTGGAAGCGCATTCTGGTATGAAGGGGCTGCCCCACGGCAAGGCGGGTGGAGGTGGCCAGACCCAAGAGGAGGAGGAGCGGGGGGACAGAGGAGCTCCAGTCCCTCCTGCAGCATCAAGGCTTCCAGTACTTAAGGAGCAGCTGCTTTCTGAGTGCTTCTGGAGATGGGTGCCACCACGGAGAGAGCCCTGCTCTTCTCCTGGACCCAGCACAACATCCGGAAGAGGCTTCACGCCTCTCTGGGTGTAGAAGCAGGTGCAAGGATGTCATGCAAAGACTGGGCTTGCCTCTGTGTGTCCTCGCTGCTGAGGAGCATCCTTTCATTACCACGCCTTGCCTCATCTTTTCAGGTGGACTCTAAGGTGACGCTGGGCTTCGGAGGAATCCTGGTGGTTCTGGGGGCTGTGCTGTCGTCCCTGGGCTTCTACTCCTACATAGGGCTGCCCTCCTCCCTCATCATCATTGAGGTCGTCCCCTTCCTGGTGCTGGCGGTCGGTGCGGACAACATCTTCATCTTCGTGCTGGAGTACCAGGTGCGAGAAATGCCGGGAGGGCAGGAGTCCCCTTGGCTCCCAAGGCTTGGCATGTCCAGAACAAAGGCGCTTTTGCCGCTTGAGCGGGAGGAGGAACGGAAGCTGGAGAGGCAAGCAGTGGCAGCCATGGGCCTGCTCTTGTTAGGCAGCAGCCCCAGGCAACGGGGGCAAGCAGCATGCTGCTTGGGGGCCCAGATCTACCACTCCTCCCAACTGTCCCCAGCCTGCTGCCCAAGGCAACTGCCTCACCCAGCCTCACAGGTAGGCTGGCCCTGTCCAGAACAGAGCAGCTCTCCTACTTCAGGACTGCTGGGCCTTTGGGAAGCAGAAGGGGGTCTGAGAGAGCCCAGATTGGAGGGACACCTTTGCACACAGCTGAGGCCAGACTACCCCTGTTTGGGAACCCCAGAAGACACCTCGACTTCTCCGCCTTGCTGCTCTGTGGGTGAGGACCACCCCCGTTTCTCAGACCCCCTTCCTCTGCCTCCCACTGCAGCGGTGTGAGCCACGGCCTGGGGAGACGACGGAGCAACACATCGGGCGGGTTTTGGGCGACGTGGCGCCCAGCATGCTCCTTTGCAGCCTCTCTGAAGTCATCTGCTTCTTCCTGGGTAAGCAAAGCCACTGCTTCTCTGAGGATGGAGTCGGGTACAAAACCCTGGTGGCCAAATGCCGCCAGGTTTGGGCAGAGAAGGGTGGCAGGGCTCTCGGGGCTCATCTAGACTACTGCTCATCCTGCCACTTCTCTCCAGAAAAAGCCCATCTTTGCCTCTGAATCTCAGAGCAAACGTCAACCAGATTTTCTGCGGATGGATGTTTGCGCCCATTCAGTGCTAAAGAGCAGGTTTTCCTGGGGAAAGGGCGGGGCTGATAGAAAACTGCATAGAATGTGGAAATGTGATGATCCCTCAGTTAAAGGTTAAAGGACCCCTGACCATTAGGTCCCGTCGTGACAGACTCTGGGGTTGTGGCGCTCATCTCACTTTATTGGCCAAGGGAGCCGGCGTACAGCTTCCGGGTCATGTGGCCAGCAGGACTAAGCTGCTTCTGGTGAACCAGAGCAGCGCACGGAAATGCCGTTTACCTTCCCGCCAGAGTGGTACCTATTTATCTACTTGCACTTTGACGTGCTTTCGAACTGCTAGGTTGTCAGGAGCAGGGACCAAGCAATGGGAGCTCACCCCGTTGCGGGGATTCGAACTGCCGACCTTCTGATCAGCAAGTCCTAGGCTCTGTGGTTTAACCCACAGCGCCACCCGTGTCCCTCAGTTAGGCTTTAGGAAATGCCTGATGAATATGATTTTGCAAAGCTTCAAGCCTGGGAGTCTCTAGAATGCAGAGCTGCTTTGCGGCCCTTTGACTGGCGGCAGCTGCCTAGCTGTGTGGACAGAGACCGCAACTCAGGTTGTGATGGCGGGAGGGGCTGCTGAATGGACCAGAGGCTTCCTTGCAGGGATGCCCTCATCCCAGCCTCGCGACAAGGCCTGCCTGCCTGGGGGTGAGCGAGCGCTAGAGCAGGCAAAGCTGCAGGAGGATTGGGGTCCTGAAAAGCCAGGAGAACCCCAATGTGGGCTCAGCCCTGAGAGATGAAAAGAAGAAAACAAGGCAATGGCAGTAACCCAAAGCTAAAAGCTGATGCTGACTCGCCCTGTGGCCAGAGAGCCAAGGAGGGCCACCCTGTGCCTTTTTTTCATGGACCTCCAATGGAGCTGAATGTTGGAAGATTCAGGACAGGTAAAAGCTAGGACCAAACAGTGGGTCTCCCTCTCAAAGGTGGCAGTGATGGTTCCCAACCTGGATGGAGGTAAAAGAGGATGAGACAAATTCATGGAGGCAAATCTCAATGGGAAGGGGAGATAGCGGAGGAAGTGCAGAAGTGCGGGTTGTCCTCCCTTTATATAGAGTCCATAATGTATAGCCACGCAAAGGCGGTGATCGCTCAAAGATTAAGGGATATTGCCAGACAGGAGGACATAGCCCGTGTGAAACCTGGGTTGTTTCTGGGGGAGCAGTTGTATCGGGCTGCTCCAGCTCGCTACCTGGCGGATATCCACTACCTGGAATACCGCAGACTATTTACTGCGGCTAGGCTGAATGTTCTTGACTCGGCGGTTCTGAAGGGAAGATATGGAGGAGTCCCATATGACCAGAGATTATGCCACTGTGCATTGGGTGAGGTAGAATCCACAGAGCACATTTTACTGAGCTGTCCCTTCTACAACGATTTAAGACAGTATCTTATAACTCCATACTTACCCCAGCTCAGTTCCCGACAAAGAGGAAAGCAGACAGCATATCTGCTAAATAAGTCTTCTGGGAAAACAACTTTGTCAGTGGCTAAATTCCTTTTCCTGGCACTCAAGTGTCGGAAACGTATAACTGAATGCTTTGATGTGGGTTATCTGTGAGAGGTCTAGTACTGTGGCCCTACCTTATTTATGTACCCCTATGATGTTTTAGTTTATAATCCTGTATTGTGTAATGTTTATTTCTGACCATCGGTCGAATAAAGGAAATTGATGGATTGATTCATGGAGGAAGTGAGGGCTGTTGATGGCAACTGGCCAGGATGGCTCTGTTCTGCCACCACCGTCAGAGGATTCTGAATCCCAGTTACTGGAAGCCACAGTTGGGGTATGGCCCTTGTGCTTGGATCCTGGTTATGGGCTTCCCAATAGGGCAGCTCGTTGGCCACTGTGAGGACAGGATGGACCACTGCCTTTGGCCTGATCCAGCAGCCAGGATTTGCTGCTGGACCTTACGCCTCCCTTCCTGCTTCTAGGTGGCTTGTCGGAGATGCCGGCTGTCCGGACCTTTGCCTTGAACGCTGCCCTGGCCGTCCTCTTTGACTTCTTGCTCCAGGTGTCCATGTTTGTGGCCTTGCTGTCTCTGGATGCCCGCAGGCAGAAGGTGGGTGGGGCCTTTCTTTTAAAGTGCATTTTTGAGGCAGGAGGGTTTCCTTACTGACTGGGGTTTCAGGCTTCCACAACCACCCCTCCTCCTCCTCCCCAGCCCCACACTCCAATGGGGTCCTCAGCTGGCGCCCCTTTTGCCCACAGGCCTCTCGCTTTGACCTGTGTTGCTGCGTCCAACTGGAGGAGAAGAGCCCAGAGGAGAAGAGCCCAGAGAAGAAGCAAAGAAGCCTCCTTCGCACCTTCATAGAACGCTTCTACGCTCCCTTCTTGCTCAACAGCTTCGTCCGGTTCATGGTGGTGAGTGCTGCTGGCTAGGTGGCAGAGGGTGGTGGTTTTCTGGTGTGTGTGTGTGAATCCAAGGCGGAGAGCAGGCAAGGTGGCAAGAAGGAGGCAGGAGAGAACACAGGGTGCGGGGAGAAGTATCCTTCTTTCTGAGCCTTCTTAACCAACTCCCCCTCAGTGGCTGTTAGTCTTGGAAGCCATATCTAATATAATAATAATTTATTATTTATACTCCACCCATCTGACTGGGTCTCCCCAGCCATTCTGGGCGGCTTCCAACCAAATATCAGAAATAATACCTTAAAAATGTCCCTAAACAGGGTGTCTTTTAAAAGTAAAATAGTTGTTTATTGCCTTGACATCTGCTGGGAGGGCATTCCACAGGGCAGGCACCACTACCAAGAAGGCCCTCTGCCTGGTTCCCTGTAACCTCACTTCTTGCAATGAGGGAACTGCCAGAAGGCCCTCGGTGCTGGATCTCAGTGTCCAGGCTGAACAATGGGGGTGGAGACGCTCCTTCAGATATACTGGGCCGAGGCCGTTTAGGGCTTTAAAGGTCAGCACCAACACTTTGAATTGTGCTCGGAAACGTACTGGGAGCCAATGCAGATCTTTCAGGACTGGTGTTATGTGGTCCCGGCGGCCACTCCCAGTCACCAGTCTAGCTGCCGCATTCTGGATTAATTGCAGTTTCCAAGTCACCTTCAAAGGTAGCCCCACGTTAAGCGCATTGCAGTAGTCCAAGCTACTGTAGTCCATATCTACCTCCTCCAGGATCAAAGGCGGGGTGTCAGGTGGAAGAGGGTGTGACTTGAAGGTCCAGGGGGGTCACCACTCAGCAGGCCCTGGTCAGGATGAGACACCACCTGGGGAGCCCACAGACCCACCCATGACGGGTGGAGCAAATGGAGAGGGGTGAGAATCCATCTAACACATAAAATAATGGCCTTCAGGTGAGACTTGTGTGCTTCCTGGGAGCCTCTAGTTGGTCCCTGGTTGCAGGCAAGGGAGGACTGGGATGCTGAACTAGATGCTTTGGCCTGATCCTGCTGCTTCACCTTCAGAGAACCCTCTTGTGTTCTTACCTTCAGATGCTGATCTTCATTTTCATGTTCTGCGCTGGGATCTTCCTGATGTTGCATGTCGAAGTGGGGCTGAATCAGGAGCTGGCCATGCCCACGGTGAGATCTGGCTGGCTTGCTGGTCTTCTGGGCCAGCAGTGATGGTGATGGTCCCCCAAGGGGCTTCTCCACAAGGAAGTTCCTTCAGGCAACTCGAATACTTGGCTGAGTCTGGGTGCTCTGCACCTTAAGGGACCTGCTGACTTCCAGCTGACTTCCTCCAGTAGCTTTGTTAACTAAATTATTTGCAGTATTTATAGCTCGCTCTTCATAGAATGTTTTCAGTCCCAGAGCAGGGGACGGAGTAATAAAAAGAAACAGAAAAACATGAATACAAAAAAATGACAATATAAACAGGTCCAATGAGCAATGGTTTTATCATACGGCAAGCAAGCAAAATGACAGCTACAATAAAAATAGTATTTCCCGTTTAATGAAGTATGGGTCAGCATGGCTGCCAGTTAGTGATGTGCTGGTAGATTTGCTGACCTCCCCCATCTCTTTCCTACATACCAGCCTTCCCAGGTAGCATCCAGGGTCTTCCAGGGTCTTTGAGCCCCCCTCCCCATTTTATTTTTAAGCTGTCCTTTTGGCTGACCTGTTCACTTCCTTCAGACGCCCCATTTCTACTGTATTCCAATGGAGGCTTCGGTTGAAGTGGCAAGATTTATCCTTCTCCCCCTTTTCAAGATCTCCAGTGGCTGCGCCTATGGGGACAGTTTTTTAAATGTCCACCTCTGGTCCTCCATTCTCTGTTTAATTTCCAGTAGCGAAGGGCCAAGAGGGATGAAAGGGACAGGGAGGGTGATGTTAAGGGCTGGCCTGGGCACAGGGAGGGCAGAGCAGCTCAGAGTCTGCTGGAGCTCTTCTCTCGGGCTGCTCCTTCAAGGCAAAGATAGCAGGCAGAGGGAAGGAGATGGACCAGCCCTGTCTTCAGTGGACAGCCGAAGAAACCAAATGTTGGAAGATTCAGGGCAGATGAAAGAAACTTCTTCTTCACCCAGTGCATAGTTAAACTGAAATATACTCGGAGTCGAGAGTGGATTTCATGCTCTTTATTCAGCTCATAGTGGTGAGGAGGACACAGTTGGTAATTCCTGTGTTTTCCATTTTGGGGCTATCAGGATTCTGGCAGCAGTCGTAGCATACATGAATAACCTTTGGTTTACTTTCTTAATATCTTCCCCCATCAAGCCTAGCAAAAAAGCTTCAGGCTTTTTTGGGGGGGAAAGTATATTTAAGCATCTTTTTTAATTCATTATAGACCAGTTCCCAATTTCCCCCCCATTTTATCACATGTCCTAGGTGGTTCTTATGTTCTTACGCTTTGCTTTCCCCAGGACTCCTACATGCTGCAGTACTTCCAGTACCTGAACACGTACTTCATGGTGGGGGCCCCAACTTACTTCGTCACCACGCCGGGCTACAACTTCTCCACGGTGGAAGGGATGAACGGTGTCTGCTCCAGCTCAGGCTGCGATGACAACTCCTTGACGCAGAAGATCCAGTCCGCTGTGCAGTTCCCGAACGTGTAAGTCCCTTGGAGGAGCCGTTCTGCTCCTGTAAAAAGAGGGTGGGTGTACAAAAGCACCCCACCCCAGTTTTGCCCTCAAAGACGCCAGAATATTATTGCATGCTCTTCCCTTCACATACCTGCCAGGAAAAAATAAAGAGAGGGAGGGTTCCTGGAGGCTTCGTCTTAGAGGGGCAGAGACAAAGATGCTTTGACCGGGGAGGGCATGGTGGTAAGAGCAGTTGCAGAAGCTCTTTTGCCCGGACCCTTCCTGGGGGAGAAGGCGCTGCAGACCCCCAGGCAGATGCTAGAAAGCAGCCTGGAGTTTGCATCATACCAGGGAAGTAGGCACAGGGCCTTCTCGGTAGTGGCGTCCGCCCTGTGGAATGCCCTCCCACCAGATGTCAAAGAGATAAACAACTACCTGACATTTAAAAAGCATCTGCCCTGTTCAGGGAAATTTTTAATGTGTGACATTTTAATGTATTTTTAATCTTTGTTGGAAGCCGCCCAGATGGGCGGGGTAGAAATAATAAATTATTAAAGGTAAAGGTAAAGGTACCCCTGCCCGTACGGGCCAGTCTTGCCAGACTCTAGGGTTGTGCGCCCATCTCACTCAAGAGGCCGGGGGCCAGCGCTGTCCGGAGACACTTCTGGGTCACGTGGCCAGCGTGACAAAGCTGCATCTGGCGAGCCAGCGCAGCACACGGAAACGCCGTTTACCTTCCCGCTGGTAAGCGGTCCCTATTTATCTACTTGCACCCAGAGGGTGCTTTCGAACTGCTAGGTTGGCAGGCGCTGGGACCAAGCAACGGGAGCGCACCCCGCCGCGGGGATTCGAACCGCCAACCTTTCGATCGGCAAGCCCTAGGGGCTGAGGCTTTTACCCACAGCGCCACCCGCGTCCCTCCAATAAATTATTATTATTATTATTATTATTATTATTATTATTATTATTATTATTATCATCATTATCATTATTATTATTATTATCATCATCAAGACCTCAGAGGAGAACAGACCAAGTCATGGAGGAGATGGCTATTGATGGCTACTAGCCACAACATCTATGTTCTGCCTCCACAATCAGAGGCGGGGTACAAATAATATATTATTATTATTATTATTATTATTATTATTATTATTATTATTATTATTATTATTATCCATACAGGAAAGGTAGTGTCATCTGGCCCTCCAGGCTCTAGAAGAGGCACAGGAGATTCTTAGTGGTCTGTGGGGCTCCAGAGGGCAATAAGCTCAAAATCAAGGCAGCCCCCAACCAGCTGAGGACCAGACAAATATTGAGCAGCTTCTCCTGATATTTTGAGGTTCAGCATCGGGCCCAGGATCAGGTGCCTGGCACCCCAGGCCCTTCCCAGGCCCTTCTCAGGCCCAGCTTCCTGCATTTGATCACCGTAAGATCAGCTCCATCCCTCCTCGTTCCACCTCACCAGTGGCACCTCAGGCTGGGCTTGGCCATCCAGTCCACGTGCGCCACTGCCCCTTTTCATTTTGCACCTGCCTCCAAGGGCAGCCCCCACCCCGCAGACCACAGGTGGTGCTCCTGGGGGGGGGGCTAAGGCCTGGAAGATGGCCGAGGCAGCCCGTGACCCCCCCGGGGAGGAGCAAGTGCCCTGTGCTTGCCTCCCGCTCACTTGCCAAGGTCCCCTTTGAGCCTTGCGCTCTTTCTTTGGCCGTGGGCCCCGGCCTCCTTCATGCCGCTGTCTCTCCCCCAGGTCCTTCCTGGCCATCCCTGCCTCTTCCTGGGTGGACGACTTCATCGACTGGCTGAGCCCCTTTTCCAGCTGCTGCCGCATCCACAGCTTCGGCCCAGACAGGGACCAGTTCTGCCCCTCCACTGACAGTAAGCAGAGAAACCCACCAGAGATTCTTCAGCTGTGATTTTTGCATTGCAGGGGGGGGGACTGGATGACCCTTGGGGAGCCCTTTCCATTCTACAGCTCTATCATTCTATGAAAGTATAGGGGGGGTGGGACATCCCCTGAGGAGGTGCCCTGCCCGAGGTTTGTTAAAGTTTGTGGGTCATTAATCTTTTGACCCACCAGTGGCGTAGTGTGGGGGGTGCAGGGGGGGCCGGCCGCACCGGGCGCAACATCTGGGGGGGGCGCTCGCCGCCTCCGGAGTCGCCGAAGAGCCTCGGGTGCAGGCTGTAGCAGAGCCCCATGTCTCGTGGAACCGACGAGCTGGCAGCGGCTCTCAGCGCTGACCGTGGTCCCTGCGCGTCAGGGCCGCAGAGGGCGCACCAGGCAGCCCCGCCGCCGCCGCTGCTGCAGCTGCTGGGCCATGTTGCATTTTCCTCGCCTCTCTGCCCTCCTCCTCCGGGCAAGCAGCGTCATTTGGGCGGCAGCTCCAGCGGCAACTCGCCTCAGATCACCTGACACGGACCCGCCGCCGCCGCCGTGGCTACCTTACCGTAAATACCCCAGCCCAGGCAGCAGCAAGAAGAAGCTGGCAGTGGCGGCAGGTTAGTGGTTAGGGGGCGCAAATTACTTGCCTTGCCCCGGGTGCTGACAACCCACGCTACGCCGCTGTGACCCACGGGGTCTGCTGCATCAGCACTGCAATAAATCTGATTTTACGAGCAATCCGACACTTCAATGGCACCCACATGCTTCCACTCGTGCACTGCCTCTCTTCTCGGTTGTCAAATAGAGTGGTACCTCGGGTTACATACGCTTCAGTTTACATATGTTTCAGGTTCCAAACTCCGCTAACCCCAAAATAGTGCCTCGGGTTAAGAACTTTGCTTCAGGATAAGAACAGAAATTGGGCTCCGGCAGCGCGGCGGCAGCAGGAGGCCCCATTAGCTAAAGTGGTGCTTCAGGTTAAGAACAGTTTCAGGTTAAGAACAGACCTCCAGAACGAATTAAGTACTTAACCCGAGGTACCACTGTAGTAGCAGAGTTCACACGCAACGTAAAATGGCTTTTCTGTGTCGATGTCGTGTCTTCAATAACTCAGCTCGACACCAGTGCTTCTAATCTAGCACTCTTTATTTAGAAGCATAACAAACAGAAAAGAAAACCTACAGAATCTAGCTGCATGTTCTGTCTCTAACAAAAAAACGAAACTACCGTGCTCACATTCTCAGACAGACTGCTCTCTGCAGCCCCCATAAAGCACAGATCAAAGGAAAATGCCCAGGTTCATGTGGGCAATGCACCCAGTGAATAAGAACGCTTCCTGGAGTGTTAACTCTTTACTGTCCAGAACCACAACAAGGTTGCAGCTGGAAGGGACCAGAGATGCCTGCCTGCCTGGACCTGGGGCTCTGCCTCTCCTCTGCCTCTCTCTCCCGCAGCTTCCCTGTCCTGCCTGTTCAACAAGTGCATGGCTCCGACGAGCGGGACCCTCCGGCCAAGTGTCGAGGAGTTCCACCGGTTCCTGCCCTGGTTCCTCCACGACATGCCTAACCTGAAATGCCCCAAGGCGTGAGTACTGCAAGCACCAGGGTGTGTGTGAGTGTGTATGTGTATGTGGCGGGTCAGGATTCGGGTCTGGGTGATTGTTCCTACAGCAGGGAATGATTCCCCTTGACCCCAGAGAGGGTCTCCTTGCCTGGTTGTGCGCTGTAGAGGCACCCCTACCGGAAGGGGGGGGGCAACTGGAGCTCCGAGGCTGAGGAGCGGCAGGATTGAGCCAGTGGAGCCCACCAGGCCAGGCCAGGGTAGGGAGGCTGTGGGTGGACTTTGCAGGAAATGGCCCACAAGGAGATTGGAGATTGGTATGGAGCCCATGGTTTTTTCCTGGGGGCAGCTGGAACTCTGTGGGGTAAAAGGTAAAGGGACCCCTGACCATTAGGTCCAGTCGCAGACGACTCTGGAGTTGCAGTGCTCATCTTGCTTTACTGGCCGAGGGAGCTGGCGTACAGCTTCCAGGTCTTGTGGCCAGCATGACTAAGCCGCTTCTGGCGAACCAGAGCAGCGCACGGAAACACCGTTTACCTTCCTGCCGGAGTGGTACCTATTTATCTACTTGCACTTTGACGTGCTTTCGAACTGCTAGGTTGGCAGGAGCAGGGACTGAGCAACAGGAGCTCACCCCGTCGCAAACCATCGGCAAGTCCTAGGCTCTGTGGTTTAACCCACAGCGCCACCCGCGTCTCTGTGGGGAGAGAGCTCCAAATCCAGGCCTGGAGGGAGGGACATCTGAGGAAGGTCTTGATGTGTGAGCTATCCATGGGGCTTGGGGAATGCTGTTTCCAAGTCGTTTGGGGAACTCTAGGCGGCAAACAGCTTGGCTGCCTGCCAGTGGCGTAGCGTGGGGGGTGCAGGGGGGGCCGGCCGCACCGGGCGCAACATCTGGGGTTAGGGCAAATCCACAGGTTAGGGGGCGCAAATCCACAGGTTAGGGGGCGCAAATCCACGGGTTAGGGGGCGCAAATTACTTGCCTTGCCCCGGGTGCTGACAACCCACGCTACGCCACTGCTGCCTGCTAGCCAGCTGGGATACACTAGGCCTTTCCTATCTTGGGATTTGAGCCAGTGTGGTGTAGTGGTTCCAGTGCTGGATTTAAGACCTGGGAGAGACCAGGGTTTGAGTCCCCCCCACTCGCTGGGTAACTTTGGACCAGTCACAGTGCCTCTTAGCCTACCTTACAGCTGTTGTGGTGGTGAGGCTAAAATGCCAGGATGGGGGCGAGGAGTATGTATACCACCTTGAGCTCCTTGGGGGAAAGGAGGCAGGATAATAATCGCAATAAATAAATCAATAAAATAAAATAAAAAGGGCTCTGGGGCCATTTCCAGTTTGCACTTGCTGCATTGGGTCTGCCATGGGAAGTACTTCTCTCTCAACATGCCCCCCCCATCTTTTTCCCCAGGGGTCGTGGTGCCTATGACACGTCTGTGAGGCTGGGGCCAGATGGGGAAGTCATAGGTGAGTGTTTCCCCCCTCCCATAAAAAGAAGCCCCAGGTGCGAATTCTGCTGCCCTGCCAGGAGGGCACTGACTCTCTTGCTGCGGCAACCAGGGTGGGTGGAGGGATATGCAGATGGGGAGGTGGGCTTCTGGCTTCATATACTTGCCAGTGCCATCTCCCCTGGCGCACCACTTCGGAGGTGGGAGGCTGCAGGAGGAGGGAGGCGGTAAATGCCCCTCCGAAGGGGTGCAGGCCTTCTGGGTGGTTGGGTTGCTGTAGCGCCAGTCTCCTCTCTCCACAGCATCCCGCTTCATGGCATACCACACGCCCCTCAAAAACTCCCAGGAGTACACAGCAGCCCTGAAGGTGGCCCGGGAACTGGCGGCCAACATCACCGCTGCCATGCGGCAGGTGCCTGGCACGGACCCAGACTTCACGGTCTTCCCCTACACGTAAGATGTTGGGAGCGGCTGGGGAGGGACCGGAAAGGACATCTTGTCCTTTTTTAATATATAATAATTTTTATTAAGTTTTCCATTTAATAATCCAATCATATCACATTAATTATTCCAAATTATACCAATACATATTATGCAGTCCGAATATTTTGCCAAATTTTAAATTTTGTTGGGGGTTCCCATGTTTTGAGCTCAGTGAGGGTCCAGTCATCTCATATTTCTGCTGCTTTTGATGTTCACAAATCCCATCTTCCAGTCTTCTTGTTGTTATCATTTTTCTTCTTAATAACCTCTGAGTTGTTTCCGCAGGCGAGTTAAACCAAACATTGTTATTTTTCTGTGGGAACTTTGTCAGGCTCTCCTTAAATCACAACACGCTGATCCAACAGTCCTGCTCGAGCGGCAGGCGCCATTTTAGTCTGTTCCAATGTAATAAAAAGGGACGCGGGTGGCGCTGTGGGTAAAAGCCTCAGCGCCTAGGGCTTGCCGATTGAAAGGTCAGTGGTTCGAATCCCCGCGGTGGGGTGCGCTCCCGCTGCTCGGTCCCAGCACCTGCCAACCTAGCAGTTCGAAAGCACCCTTAAGTGCAAGTAGATAAATAGGGACCGCTTACTGGCGGGAAGGTAAACGGCGTTTCCGTGTGCTGCGCTGGCTCGCCAGATGCAGCTTTGTCACGCTGGCCACGTGACCCGGAAGTGTCTCCGGACAGCGCTGGCCCCTGGCATCTTGAGTGAGATGGGCGCACAACCCCAGAGTCTGTCAAGACTGGCCCGTAGGGGCAGGGGTACCTTTACCTTTAATGTAATAAAGTCTAAGCGTCTGCTCATTAATTTTCCCAGACCAGTTGGACCATAAATCAATCTTTCCAAGGGAGGGTTTGCCAACTCAAACACACAATCCAAACATGATAACAAAGCAGTGGCTCACCTCCCCCTCTGACTAGCAATCTCGCAACTTAGTCTGTCTCATAATGGCAGATCCTGACTAAGAACGGCATCTTGTCCTTTTTTGGGGGGAAATTGTCCCTAGTTTCCCTTCTCTTCACCCCTGGAGTCAGCGAGGCTCTGGGGAGAGCGGCAAAGTGTGTCTCTGTGCCTCGCTGGTGTCCCCACGGCCGCTGTGGTTTTTTTGCAGGATCACCTACGTGTTTTACGAGCAGTTCCTGAGCATCGCCCTTGCGGGAGTCGTCAACCTGGCCGTCTGCTTGCTCCCCACCTTCCTGGTCTGTTGTGTCCTGCTGGGCATGGACCTGCGCTCAGGACTCATCAACCTGTTCACCATCATCATGATATTGGTGGACACCCAGGGAGCCATGACCCTGTGGGGCATTTCCTTCAACGCCATCTCCCTCATCAACCTGGTGACGGTAAGCCAGCCCTTGCCATACAACAAAACCAAAAGACCAAACCGGCTTGCAAATATAAAGGGCAATTTTACTTAGTTCAGCAAATTGAAGTGCAACGTGCATATCAAAGCCTGGAGATACTTAGAGACATACAGTCAGCTAGTGGCACAATTCTGCCAATAATGTATATAGTAATAGTGTCATACACAGCTGAAACAAGTAAATCACTCTGGGGCACAGCTCTGGCTTTGGGGGGCGGGGGCGGCAGGAGAGGGCATCCCTGAAACTCCCAACTTGGGGGGTGTTTTCCAAGGGTCATCGTGGAGTTCCTTCCAAGGTGTCTAGCCTCAAAATGGGATTCCGCCTTCTGGCTCTGTGAGTCTGCAAATTCTACACAAAATCCTCCCCATCCCACAGAATAAACATTTATCCTGAAAGACCTACACTGGCTCCCAGTACATTTCCGAGCACAATTCAAAGTGTTGGTGCTGGCCTTTTAAAGTCCTAAATGGCCTCGGCCCACCTGTGGCGGAGCTTCATGCTCCAGCACCGGGGGGGGGGGACCCAGCGGGGGGGGGGCAGCTGCGATGGCACCCCACCAGGATCATGCTGCCGGCGGTGGTGTGCGCTCCCTTTGCACTCCTCTTCCTCCGCCAGTGCAGCCCAGTATACCTGAAGGAGCGTTTCCACCCCCATCGTTCTGCCCAGACACTTAGGTCCAGCTCCGAGGTCCTTTTGGTGGTTCCTTCCCTGCGAGAAGTGAGGTTACAGGGAACCAGGCAGAGGGCCTTCTCGGTAGTGGCACCCACCCTGTGGAATGCCCTCCCATCAGATGACAAGGAAATAAACAACTATCTGACTTTTAGAAGGCATCTGAAGGCAGCCCTGTTTAGGGAAGTTTTTAATGTTTGATGTTTTATTGTGTTTTTAATATTGTGTTGGGAACTGCCCAAAGTGGTTGTGAAGGCCCAGCTGGATGTGCTGGGTATAAATCATTAATAATAATAATAATAATAATAATAATAATAATAATAAATGCAATTTGATGTGAGACACATGGAAGCACATTCTTATTTGCACACATTATCCAGCTTGCACACATGCTTTGTCAAACACATCTGCTAATATTTGCTTTCCATCACAGTTGTTTTTTTTTAGTAATTCCATCCACAGCAACATACCCAAATTGGGAGTTCTGGATGGATGAGAGGTAGCTGGGGCGACAGGTGTGTGAGGTGCAGAACAGAAAATGAAGATCATGGGGAGAGATGAGCATCAGCAAAGTGAAGAAAGTGAATGCTGCTTATTGCATTTTCCCAAGAGAGCTACAAATCTGATAGGCAGCATCTATGCTTTGGAACTCCCAGACTATTGACATTAGGCAGGCGCCCTCATTACATTGTTCCAGATACTTGCTGAAAACTATTTCGCGGGTGGCACTGTGGTCTAAACCACAGAGCCTAGGGCTTGCTGATCAGAAGTTCGGCGGTTCGAATCCCCGCGATGGGGTGAGCTCCCGTTGCTCGGTCCCTGCCCCTGCCAACCTAGCAGTTCGAAAGCACATCAAAGTGCAAGTAGATAAATAGGTACCGCTCCGGCCGGAAGGTAAACGGCGTTTCCGTGCGCTGCTCTGGTTCGCCAGAAGCGGCTTAGTCATGCTGGCCACACGACCCGGAAGCTGTATGCCGGCTCCCTCGGCCAATAAAGCGAGATGAGCGCTGCAACCCCAGAGTCGGCCACGACTGGACCTAATGGTCAGGGGTTCCTTTACCTTTACTTTTTACCCAGAAATTTAATGTAGTTATCCAAATTTGTTTAAAACTATTTTTCTGTTTCCTTTACACTTTATCTTATACATACATATTTTTTTAATAGTTTTGTTAAATTTAGGTGTTTTATTGATAATTTTATCATGTACACCACTTAAGAGTTTTCTCAGTAGTCTATGAACCGTCCTAAATAAAGGGGGATTTTTAAGCACAACTGGCATTGTGCTTAAGCACAACTAGCCTTTGAGGCTAGCTCTAGAAATATTAAGTGGCAAGGAACTTTGGTTTTCTTCCCCCAGAGCCCATAGGAAACAGAACTCAGCAACACATTTGTGCAGTATCCTTAGAACACAAAGAGGTAGACATAATACATTATGTCAAGTTGCAAAGATTTTAGTGAGAAAACAAGGAAGCCAGGGGGTTCTTATATGTAAGAATATTTGTTTGGGAATAAAGGAACTCCATCACTTACATTTTACCTAATTGCACAGAACTTGGGGCAATGCAGCACTTTCAGGGGGGAAATGTTCTGAGAGAGCATTGATTTAGATGCTTCTAAGGTGATTGTGACTGGGAGAGAGAAGCATTGCGTAGATTTAAGTGGATCATTTGATGGCGATTGTTTGGTTTTTGAGACCAATGGTAGGAGAAGCTCCATCACTGCTAAGCCTTTGAGGTAGCCAATCAGAAATTTATTTAAAGGTTGATTCCACCTCCCTATTGATTCTGGACTTCCACCATAAAAAGACTATCCAATTCAGGTCAGTTGGCTATTAACTAAGAAGAGCTCTGCTGCTGGATCAGGCCAGAGGGCGCCCATCTAGTCCAGCATCCTGCTCTCACAGATGCCAGCCAAATGCCCATTATTGGATGATGCCCATGAGCAGGACCTGAGTGCCACAAGTCGTTGCGAAGAAGGGGCTTACCTGCGAATGGGTGTTCTGAAATAAAGCTCCAAAATAGCTGCCTGTCCAGAATTTCCTGAAGGGGGTGCCAAACCCTAGGCACCTGAAAGGGAGCGCTGTTGGACTTCATCGAAACAGAGGTTTCTGTCCACCATAACAAAAAATATCAGGGAGCTGGGTTATTTCCTAGCATTCAAGAGAAGCTTTGTGGCACTTCACCCTAGACAGCCACGGTCCTGAGCTGCAAAGCTGTGTGCCTGTTCTGGCAGAGACACAGCAGCTTGGGAAAACCTGCTGCTGCTTCTCTTCCCCCTCTCCATTTTCCTGATTACAATTATTTCCTTTACCAATTAATCTACGAGCATTGTAACCACTGGACAAAACACAGCTGATGCCCAGGTTGTTGTTCTTTAGTCGTTTAGTCGTGTCCGACTCAGGCACTCCTGTCTTCCACTGCCTCCCGCAGTTTGGTCAAACTCATGCTGGTAGCTTCGAGAACACTGTCCAACCATCTCGTCCTCTGTCGTCCCCTTCTCCTTGTGTCCTCCATCTTTCCCAACATCAGGGTCTTTTCCAGGGAGTCTTCTCTTCTCATGAGGTGGCCAAAGTATTGGAGCCTCAGCTTCAGGATCTGTCCTTCCAGGGAGCACTCAGGGCTGATTTCCTTAAGAATGGGTAGGTTTGATCTTCTTGCAGTCCATGGGACTCTCAAGAGTCTCCTCCAGCACCAATGCCTAGGTTGTTGTTGTTGTTGTTTAGTCGTTTAGTCGTGTCCGACTCTTCGTGACCCCATGGACCAGAGCACGCCAGGCACCTCTGTCCTCCACTACCTGCCTAGGTTAGGTTGGACCATATTTCTCCCTCAGTTGCAACAGAAGCAAGGTGCAATTTTTGTTTTTGTTCCCCCCCCCAATTTTTTTTATTAGTTTTCCAAATTTATGACACATAAATCCACAAACATGAAAAGAAAACATTAAAAAACAAACAAAAAACAAACAAACATTTATCCTAACTGTAATAATTCCAGTTTTATTAACATTGTTGTGTGACTTCCTCGAATCCCCTGGCTGAGTTTCCATATAAATCATTGTAGCAGTTTTCCAAAACTATTTTTACATAGAATTTACTTGGTTGATTAACATCTTTCTTTCTTTTCATTTTAACAACATAGTATTCTACAACATCACATATTTAAATCTAGGCCTATCTGATACTCGCAAGTAATTCTGTTTCTAGGCCTATCTGATACTCGCAAGTAATTAAAGATAACTTAATCTTTACATAGTTAGCTAAATAGACTTTGAATTTCTTCCACTCCTCTTGGTGCTCCTCCTCCTTCTGGTCGCGGACTCTTCTGGTCAGGTCGGCTAGCTCCCAAAAGTCCATCATCTTCATCTGCCATTCCTCCACTGTTGGTACTTCTTGTAGTTTCCAATTTTTAGCCAACAAAATTCTAGCTGCAGTTGTGGCATGCAAAAACAATCTGGCATCTTTCTTGGGCAATTCCAAACCTGTTATTCCAAGTAGAAAGGCTTCTGGTTTCTTAATAAATGAATATTTCAACATTTTTTTCCAATTCATGATAAATCTTTCCCCAGAAGTCTTTCACCTTGGGACAGGTCCACCACATATGTGCAAGGTGCAATTTTTTTGCTGATCGGGTCGAAATTGCCGCACATGGTACAAAAAAAACCAACTGGGGTTTTTTGGCCCAGCAAATGCGCCAGGTGGGCTTGGCAATAATAATAATAATAATAATAATAATAATAATAATAATAATAATAATAATAATAATAAATAATAATAATAAAGCTACTCATCCTTCTGACAAGGGCTGTGTTCCTCCCGGCAGGCTGTGGGCATTTCGGTGGAGTTTGTCTCCCACATCACCCGCTCCTTCGCTATCAGCACGGAGCCCACCAAAGTGGAGAGAGCCAGGGAGGCCACAGTCAACATGGGGAGTGCGGTGAGTCGTGGGGAGGGGGGCACATGTGGGGTGTCTGTGGCTTCGTTTAGGATGTTGCTTGGGTGCATTGGGGCAGGGAAGAGAGATCAGGCTTTGGTCTTTTGAATGTCCACGGTGACACCCCCCACCACCTGCCTCTCCCCTTCCATTCTGCTCAATTCATTGCATCAGAATTGTGATGCCCTGCAGTGCCATCTAGGCTCGGTGCCCAGTGTGGTGTAACTGGTCGCGGTGCCCTAAAGCCCCCTCTGGAGAGGTCCTGCCCTCATGGGGCCTTTGGAGCTGGTTTGTAGAATCAGTGAATTGTAGAGTTGTAATTTGAATCCCCGTGACGGGGTGAGCTGCCGTTGCTTGGTCCCTGCCCCTGCCAACCTAGCAGTTCGAAAGCACGTCAAAGTGCAAGTAGATAAATAGGTACCGCTCCGGTGGAAAGGTAAACGGCATTTTCCAGGTTCGCCAGAAGTGGCTTAGTCATGCTGGCCACATGACCTGGAAGCTGTACCCGGTCAATAAAGCGAGATGAGCGCCGCATCCCCAGAGTCAGCCACGACTGGACCTAACAGTCAGGGGTCCCTTTACCATTACCTAAGGGACCCCAAGTGTCATCTCCCTGTATGCAGGTAATCTCGCTTTACTGGTCGAGGGAGCCGGCGTTTGTCCACAGACAGTTTTTCTGGGTCATGTGGCCAGCTTGACAAAGCCGCTTCTGGCGAACCAGAGCAGCGCACGGAAACGCCGTTTACCTTCCCCATTTACTTTGTCGTGCTTTCGAACTGCTAGGTTGGCAGGAGCAGGGACCGAACAACAGGAGCTCACCCCGTCGTGGGGATTCGAACTGCCAACCTTCTGATCGGCAAGCCCTAGGCTCTGTGGTTTAGACCACAGCGCCACCTGCGTTGCAGGAATCACAGCTAAAAAATGCAATGGATGGTTGTCCAAGCTCTGCTCCCCCTCTCCAGAATCAGTTCTGCTCTTCTCACCCCCCCGCCCCCACAAATGAACACACTGCTTTTGGTCATCGAGAACCAGCTCCAAGTTGGCACGAGAGCTCCTCAGCCTCTCCCTCCACTTTCCAACTTCCACTCTTGGAGTTGTTTATGCCCATCTGGTGGGCAGCCAACTGGGCATTGGGCTGTGTTGGTGAGGCTGCCAAGGCCATAGCAATCCTCACCTGCCTGCAGAGGCAGTTCCCACTGCGTGAGCCATCTCTGCCCCTTTCCCCCCATTTGGAGATTTCTGGGTATAACCAGCTTGTGCTGTCTGCTTGCTCTCCCTCCAGGTGTTTGCTGGCGTGGCCATGACCAACCTCCCAGGCATCGTGGTCCTGGCCTTTGCCAAAGCCCAGCTGATCCAGATCTTCTTCTTCCGCCTCAACCTCATCATCACGCTGCTGGGGATGCTCCACGGACTCGTCTTCCTGCCTGTGGCCCTCAGTTATTTCGGTGAGCCAGTTTGCCTTCCCAAGCCGGACCCCTACAAAGAGGGGCAATTGCTGAGGCAGCCTGTAAAAGGTACCCCTGACCGTTAGGTCCAGTCGTGGCCGACTCTGGGGTTGCGGCACTCAACTCGCTTTATTGGCCGAGGGAGCCAGCGTACAGCTTCTGGGTCATGTGGCCAGCATGACTAAGCTGCTTCTGGCGAACCAGAGCAGCACACGGAAATGCCGTTTACCTTCCCGCCAGAGTGGTACCTATTTATCTACTTGCACTTTGACGTGCTTTTGAACTGCTAGGTTGGCAGGAGCAGGGACCGAGCAACAGGAGCTCACCCCGTCATGGGGATTTGAACCGCTGACCTTCTGATTGGCAAGTGCTAGGCTCTGTGGTTAAACCCACAGCGCCACCCACGTCCCGAGACAGCCTGTAATGAGGGGCAAAGAGGACAGGGGCACAGGGGGATGGAGGCACAGTTCAAGCCGCTTGCGACAGGAGGGGGAAGTGGGTGCCCACCATTGCTAGGGGTGGGGTTGGGTAGAAGAGGACTTTCCTGAATGACTCTAAGGAAGTACTCTGCAGAGCTAGTTTGCTTGCTGCAGGGGGTTCCTCTCTCCATGAGACCTCACTCTGGGTTCTCCTCCTGTCGAACAGGCCCATCTCTTCCTCTCTTCTCCAGGGTTTCAGAAAGATGCAAATCCAGCTGAGCATTCATTCATTCCCCCCCCCCTTTTTAATGTCACTTTCTCACACCCACACAAAAAGATGCTCAGAGTGGCTTGCAGCAAAGAAAACAATGCATTTCAAAACCAAACCATGCAAAAAGAATTTCCTAATAGCACAGCAAAACACATGTAAGCTGTTTAATCCAGTTTAATCTTTAGTGCCGGCTTTAACTTGCTTATTTAGAATACACCCCGCTTCTGAAGAGTTGGCAGCACTGCTCTGTACCAAGTCACCAGTCGCTCAGCACAGTGCCTGTCTGCCTGTACGTTTCCGAGCACAATTCAAAGTGTTGGTGCTGGCCTTTAAAGCCCTAAATGGCCTCGGTCCAGTATACCTGAAGGAGCATCTCCACCTCCATCATTCAGCCTGGACACTGAGGTCCAGCGCCGAGGGCCTTCTGGCGGATCCCTCATTTCAAGAAGCAAAGCTATAGGGAACCAGGCAGAGGGCCTTCTCTGTAGTGGCACCCGCCCTGTGGAACGCCCTCCCATCAGATGTGAAAGACATAAAAAAACTATCTGACATTTAGAAGACATCTGAAGGCAGCCCTGTTCAGGGAAGTTTTTAATGTGTGAGATTTTAATGTATTTGTAATCTTTGTTGGAAGCCACCCAGAGTGGCTGGGGAAACCCGGCCAGATGGATGGGGTAGAAATAAAAAATTATAGTAATAATAATAATTATTATTATTATCATAGAGCCCCCCGCCCACGCCATGCAGGACAGAGTTAAACTATGGAACTTGCTCCTACAGGAGGCAGCAATGGTCGTCCAACTCAGTGATGGCCCCCAACTCAGATCGCTTTAAAAGACAAGTTCACAGAGGAGAGGGCTATTGATGGCTCTTAGGCACGATGGTTCGGCTCTGCCTCCACGGTTGAAGCCAGCAAAGCTTCTCAATCCCAGTTGCTGGAATCCACAAGAGGGAAGAGGTCTCTTGTGCTCAAAACCTACTTGCTGGTCTCCCAAAAGAGGCATCTGGGGTGGTCACTGTAAGCATAAGAGGCTGGACTAGATGGGCCATCATCCAGCAGACTCTTCTTATATTCTTATGAGCTCCCTCCCTCTTCCCAGCAATCAGACCCCAGCTATGAACAAATCATGGCGGTCAGTGCTTCTCTTCTGTGCATGCTCCTTGACCGAGACAGCAACTGTCCTCCGGAATGGCTGCTATTAAGTAGTGGGTTGACACAGAGATTTCTCCAAGTGGTTCTTTATAGTAAGCTGGAACTGAACTGAACAGCTCAGCCGGCCTGCTTTTATAGGCAGCCGGCTGTCAACATTATAACAACAACACCCCAGGGTTTCCCGCCTAAATTAACTGACGTGGACCTGAGTGAAAACTATACAGTCATACCTCGGCCTGAAGTAGCTTCAGGATGAGTATTTTTGGGTTGCGCTCTGCGGTGACCCGGAAGTAACAGGGTGTGTAACTTCTGGGTTTTGTGGCACAGACGCTCAAAATGGCGTCACGCGCATGCGAGGAAGTGGCGAATCGTGACCCGCGCAGACGTGGGTTGTGTTCGCTTCAGGATGCGAACGGGGCTCCGGAACAGATCCCGTTCGCATCCAGAGGTACCACTGTATACACAATACCCCTGGTGGCCAGGGTAAGCACTTCAATACATAACACCTGCCATGTGGTGCGGGTGCTTCATGTGAAGTTTGGGAGCCTGGTGGCTGACTTTACCTCTTTCTCTCTCCCTCCCACCAACTAGGGCCTGATAGCATCCACTTGAGTGTGCAGCAGAAGACAAAAAGCAGCCTGGTCATCGCCAACAGCCTTGCTCTTGAAAGCAGCAACGGGATCCAAAACCAAGCCTTTAGTGGCTGCAACGAGGCTCCACAGGACAGACCCAAGCAGGAGGGATCTGAAGGAGTGGGTGGCAGCTGCCCAGAAGGAGCGGGCATCTAGGCAGACACGGGACAGAGGCTCTGGGCAAGCAAGGATGCTGGCCAGTCCGGGGAGCAACCACAGCAGCCCCCGCAAGCGAGTGCCGTGTGTGTGCGTGATTGTGCGCACACCCCAAATAATAATTATTCTCCAGCCCGCATCCCTGTGAGCAAGAGGGCAACAGTACAGTGTTATCTGTAAGAACCTGGTTCCTAACTGCAAGAATCTGCCGAATGTCGGTAGATTTGTAAACCAGAGTTCTGGCCTTGTCCCAGCCAACCAAGGAGAGCTGGAGAACCCCACGAACTGGTCGCCTGTGGCCCCCCACTTTCTGCAGCCACCAGCCTGGTGGAGGATGTGACTCCAGGCGTTTCTTTCTCCACAAGATGCTCCTCTAAAGAGAAAGGAGAACCAGGACATAAGACTGGGACAGATGTGCGATGGGACCGCCTTGCCAATGCTTCCGTGCTTCTGGTGGTTGGGGCCTGTCTGAGAACCCCATGGACGTTCCCTTGAGTTCCGTGTGCGAAAGATGGGGTGGAAATAGAATAAAGATCGAAAGCAGCACAAACACGTTTCTTTGTGTTCCTCAGCAATTCTCTGGTGGTTTGTCTCTTGGTCAAAGCTGCCCTTCCCTCTAACTATGGGGCTTCAGAGGTTGCACAGGGTTGCAGAGCTGTGGCTCTAGGCAGGAGGGGGAATAATAATGGCCCGCCCCCAACACCCGGTTTTCACCCTGTCCTATTGAAGCCACTCTCTGGTGCCAACCTACCAAATAAAGGTAAAGGTAAAGGGACCCCTGACCATTAGGTCCAGTCGTGGCCGACTCTGGGGTTGCAGCGCTCATCTCGCTTTACTGGCCGAGGGAGCCGGCGTAGAGCTTCCGGGTCATGTGGCCAGCATGACTAAGCCGCTTCTGGCGAACCAGAGCAGCGCACAGAAACACTGTTTACCTTCCCGCCGGAGTGGTACCTATTTATCTACTTGCACTTTGACGTGTTTTCGAACTGCTAGGTTGGCAGGAGCAGGGACCGAGCAACGGGAGCTCACCCCGTTGCGGGGATTCGAACCGCCGACCTTCTGATCGGCAAGTCCTAGGCTCTGTGGTTTAACCCACAGCGCCACCCGCATCCCATAACCTACCAAATAGCTTTCACCTTAGTCGGCCTGCCTGGGGCAACAGAGAGCAAAGGGTGACCTTGAGTCACAAGCTTCTGTGGACTGGTTGGTTTTGTCAGAAGCATCTGGTGCCATCAGAACTTGGCATAACCCCATATAAAACAGGGCAGGTATGGAGGAGGGAGGTAAATGGCTAATTGCTCCAAGGCCAGCAAATGGGTCCTTCGCTAAGACGTCCAGAACACAGGAGGAGACATAGAGACCCCTTTTCCCCTGTTTTACTCTCTCCTCCGCAAAATAAAATAAAATATTATTTTGCTTTAGTGATTTCCCCCCTTTCCATATGGTGGATCCAGGGTGTGTGTGAAAGCAATCCTATAGACACCAGCCATGGGCTAATCAGGCCCGCAGAACAACACCTGCTTGCCCAACTTCGGGTGTCATGGGTGATGCTGGGGTCATTTTCATTTTCAATATGGCTGGGCTGGAAGGCAAGGCTGATCACTGGCTGATTGATAGGGCTTGCAAAGGAACCATTTGGTGTCAACGTGCCTGGATGTCAAAAACAGAGCACTAGACAACAAGCCCATGAGGAGGGGACAGAACATATGCTACCATCAGGCCGGCAATCAGCAGCTGCCCCATCTTACATCTGAGGGTGGGGGGGGGGCGTAAAGATGAATATGAAACTCATAACATTAGAGCCCACGGACACCCAATGAAACTGAATGCTGGAAGAAGCAAGACAGGTAAGAGAAAGTCCTTCATGCAGTGCAGTTAAACTATGGAACTCGCTGCCACAGGAGAGTGATGACTTCCAAAGAGGGCTGGACAAATTCAGGGAGGAGAGGGCCATCAATGGGTACTAGCCGGCACGGCTATGCTCTACCTCCACAGTCGGAGGCAGAAATAATGGTTCTGAATCCCAGTTGCGGAGAGCGCTCTTGTGCTCGGGTCCCGCTTATGAGATTCTCCACAGGCATCTGGTTGGCCACTGTGAGAACGGGAGGCTGGACTTTGGCCTGATCCAGAAGGCTCTTCTTATGTTCTTTACCCATACAAGGGACGCGGGTGGCGCTGTGGGTAAAAGCCTCAGCGCCTAGGGCTTGCCGATCGAAAGGTCGGCGGTTCGAATCCCCGCGGCGGGGTGCGCTCCCGCTGCTCGCTCCCAGCGCCTGCCAACCTAGCAGTTCGAAAGCACTCCCGGGTGCAAGTAGATAAATAGGGACCGCTTACTAGCGGGAAGGTAAACGGCGTTTCCGTGTGCGGCTCTGGCTTGCCAGATGCAGCTTTGTCACGCTGGCCACGTGACCCGGAAGTGTCTCCGGACAGCGCTGGCCCCCGGCCTCTTGAGTGAGATGGGCGCACAACCCCCGAGTCTGTCAAGACTGGCCCGTACGGGCAGGGGTACCTTTACCCATACAAGAATTCCAACTGAGAAAATTACACGACCTTTTCCCTCTTGTTTTAACAACTGATAGCTCAGTCTGTAGAACACGGGACTCTTAATCTCAAGGTCATGGGTTCAAGCCCCAAATTGGGCAAAACATTCCCGCATTGCAGGGGGCTGGACTAGATGACCCTCACGGTCCCTTCCAACTATACAATTCTGTGATTCCAAGTTATATATTTTGCTGTTCGATTGGATTTCTTTTTTAAATTACAAAAAACAAGAAGAGCCCATTTTCTCTCTGGAATATAGCCATCCTTGCCAGACAACTCTCCGGACAAAATATTTTTTTCTGCAACTTGCGGGTGATCACCGATCACCCCTGGAATAGTCAATGAGAGACTGGATGCCCGTTTTAAATCTAGACGAAGTCACTGGAACTCAGGGCTGGCAAGGTGCAGGAGGTGTCGCACTGCGACCGGAAGTTGTGAGGCAGCACGTGCTCGGCTTCTCTCTTTGGACGCGACCCAGAACGTGCGGGCGCTCGGGTTCTCCCTCCCTTCCTCTCTATCGCTAGTCTCCGAGTACATCCGGGCACCTCCGCCCTCCCCTCTTCTCGCGAAACTTGGCCGGTTCATCCTTCTTCCCAAGATGGCGGCCCCCTGGTGGAGGGCGGCGGCGGCGGCTCGGCGGGGCCTTGAGGCGAGTCTGGGGGCTGTCAGGAAGTCGTTTTTTGGGGGGGGGGCTGGAAGGGGCTTCACGCGCTACCGCGGAGGGTTTAGAAGCCCCCACTCGGCCAGGAAGCTCCCCGCGTGTGACTTGGGGGGGGCTGCCTCTCAGCCTACCTCGCAGGGTTGTTGTCCTAGCTGTCAACTTACAGATCTGAAAATAAGGGACCAGCAGCCTCGAAAATAAGGAGGCACAAATACAAGATGGCTTGAGAGCAGTACATGTGAAAAGGATCTAGGAGTCTTGGTTGACCACAAACTTGACATGAGCCAACAGTGTGACGCGGCAGCTAAAAAAGCCAATGCAATTCTGGGCCTCATCAATAGGAGTATAGCATCTAGATCAAGGGAAGTAATAGTGCCACTGTATTCTGCTCTGGTCAGACCTCACCTGGAGTACTGTGTCCAGTTCTGGGCACCACAGTTCAAGAAGGACACTGACAAACTGGAACGTGTCCAGAGGAGGGCAACCAAAATGGTCAAAGGCCTGGAAACGATGCCTTATGAGGAACGGCTAAGGGAGCTGGGCATGTTTCGCCTGGAGAAGAGGAGGTTAAGGGGTGATATGATAGCCATGTTCAAATATATAAAAGGATGTCATATAGAGGAGGGAGAAAGGTTGTTTTCTGCTGCTCCAGAGAAGCGGACACGGAGCAATGGATCCAAACTACAAGAAAGAAGATTCCACCTAAACATTAGGAAGAACTTCCTGACAGTAAGAGCTGTTCGACAGTGGAATTTGCTGCCAAGGAGTGTGGTGGAGTCTCCTTCTTTGGAGGTCTTTAAGCAGAGGCTTGACAACCATATGTCAGGAGTGCTCTGATGGTGTTTCCTGCTTGGCAGGGGGTTGGACTCGATGGCCCTTGTGGTCTCTTCCAACTCTATGATTCTATGAAGGGATCAGCAGCCCAAATAAGGGATTTTGGCTTAGCTTATACAGAAATCCGGCACTGATGGAGCCATGCTGCTTTGGCTGTGACTGACTCTGTTTTGCAGGGTGTTGGACTAGATGATCCTAAGGGCCTACAACTCCCACCAAAGAAGAGGGGCAGACAAAACTGATGAACAACATTGAGATGACAAAGCTTACAGGCAGAATTAGAAACCAGGAAGAGGACCTCTTTAATAAAGAATGGGGAAAGTTTATAATTTATTTGAAAAGCTATTGTAAAGAGTTACATACACTGGTAGGATTGACAGAAAACTTGTAGTAAAAATTTGAACTATGGATGGACAAATGATTTATAAAAATAGAGTTATGAAAGGGATGCAGAGGGGGAAATCACTACATTAAGATGCTGCACTGGTTGGAGGGTATGCTAAGCAGCACGTCAGGGCTGCCGTCATCCTGGTGCAAGGAGTTCCATCGGCCCTTCCCCGCCCTAGAGAGAGGGAGGGAGGGAGACTCTCACCCACGCCGCCCGTGAGCCAGCATGAGGCGGTTGCGGCGCCACTGAAGCGCCACCCTTCTGCGTCCCTCCCCTTCCCCTCCTTTTCCTCCTCCCTCAGGCTGCCTCCTCAGCTGCCGCCGCCACCTCTGGCTTCCCCTGGCAGCCCGGCGGAAGTCTCTCAAGAGAGGGGCTGCCTGCCTGCCCGCCGCCACCCAGATCCTCATGACGCGCCCCTGAGGGGGAAAAGGGAGAGACGGAGACGCGGCAGCTCGTGCGCGGAGGACCCCGAGCTGCTGCTTCCCTCCCGAGCCGGGCGAGCATGAAACCTGGGAAATTTAAGGGACATCATCAGTAAGGGACAGCAGCGGGACACGGCGCTGGGATAAGGGAGTTTCCCGCCAAATAAGGGACGGTTGACAGCTATGGTTGTTGTTGTTGTTGTTGTTGTTGTTGTGGGATTTATTGAAGGAAGTGGGGAGAACCATGCATGCCACCCTGAGCTCCTTGGAGGAAAAAAGGCGGGATATAAACGTGACAAATTACGTTTTAAGGGGCCTTCGCTTTAAAGCCTCCAACGAAGCCTGGAACAAGCACGGTGAACCTTCAGCTGCTTTTCACCATCACAAAGTTCTTCCTGAAGTTCAGTCTAAATCTCTTTACCTTCAGTTCCGGGCCTGCCCAATTTCATGTGCGTCAGGGGCAGCTAGGGTGGTGGCCTGCAGATGTTGGACCACAACAGCCATCAGACCCAGCTAGGGATGAGGGAAATTGTGGTCCAACAACTGCCACCTTGAAAGTGACCTTTTATTGTTGTTGTTTAGTCATTTAGTCGTGCCCGACTCTTCGTGACCCCATGGACCAGAGCACGCCAGGCACTCCTGTCTTCCACTGCCTCCCGCAGTTTGGTCAAACTCATGCTGGTAGCTTCGAGAACACCGTCCCACCATC